AATTTGATCTGTTGTGATATCTCATGTTTGATTTCTCCTTGATTAGTGTATGTATCTCAAGTTATATCGCTTCCTTTTAACCAGGAGGGGGACAACCTCTCATGGGAGACAATATCTGACCATGAATTGCAAGACACAGAGGAGAAAATGACCAAGATAATTCAATGATGATAGCTGAGATTTCAACCAAAAAAAAATTTAAATTATTTTAAAAATTTAAGTTTTATTAAAAGTTTTTAAAAAATGAAGCGGATTCGTTTTAGTTTTGTGTTATATGGATACCTTCCTTCCCATTTCATAACCCTTTCTAAATATTTCTTGAAGGAGAATGATGGTTTGGTTCACAACAGGCAAGTAAAAAAACCCAACACCTACTACTCTAATCAGCTTAGAAGGCTCCTTCTCACCTGAATAGTTTGGTTATGGATATGGATTAGAGGACAGACCTACACAGGTGATGTACATAGTAGGCATCTGCTGCAGACCACCTTAGCAAAAAGAGGAGGTAGATGAACCCTTCTTCAGAAGGCAGGAAGATGCCTCGTGATTGCAGGCGCTGGTACTTATGAGAGTTTTAATCATGCTAATATCTGCTTGAAGGACAGCAAGTTGGTCTTAAAGGAGAGCCTCCTCAGAGCACAGAAGAGTCCATTCCAATGCAAAGCAAGTCAAGCAAGTGTGGCATAAGGCCACCTTGGCTAAACATGGATCTCCTGACCAAGCTCAAACACAGAAAATAAATATACAGAAGACAGAAGAGGGGATAGAGCACTTAAGTGGAACATAGAGACATGTCCCAAGCATAAGAGAATGGAGTCAGAAAAGCCAAAGCTCAGCTAGAGTTGAAACTATTGAGCAATGTAAAGGGCAAGAAGGAGGGCTCTTGTGAGTACATTGACAGCAAAAGGAAACGTAAGAAAAATGTGGGTCTGATGCTCACTGGGGTAGGGGAACTAGTGACCAGGGACATGGAAAATACCAAGGTACTCAATGTCTTTTCTGCCTCAGTTTCCACTGAGGAATGTCATTGGAAGGCTGCTTTATATTATCTTCAAAAGGTCATGGCAACCCTGGCACCTGATGACTGGAAAAAGGCAAACATCACATCCATCTTTAGGAAGGGCAAGAAGGAGGATCCAGGGGACTACAGTCCAGTCAGTCTATCCTCAGTCCCCAGGAAGAGTATGGACCAGTTGCTTCTTGAAGACACGTCCACACATGAAGAAAAAAAGGTGACTGGGAACAGCCAGCACAGATTCATCATGGGAAAAATCATGCCTGACTAATCTGATTGCTGTCTCTGACAAGATGACTGGCTGTCATTCCCTTTTATTCAGTACTGGTGCCTATCTGGAGTATTGTGTCCTGTTTTTTGGCTCCCCAATTCATGAAAGACATCAATATACTGGAATGAGGTCAGTGGAGGGCCAACAAGCAGGTTAGGGAACTGGATCACACAATCTACAGGCAAAAGTTGGGAAAAGAGAGTTTGTTCAGCCATCAAAAAGGAAGGCTAAGGGGAGGCCTTATTGCTGTTAACAACTACCTAATGGGTAGGTGTAAAGCAGACGGAGCCAGACTCTTAGCGTGCAGGGATAGGATGAGAGGCAAAAGACACAAGCTGTAAAACAGAGCATTCCAATTACATATATGGAAAAAAGGTATTTATCATGAGAGCAGCCTAACAGTGGAACAGGTCTCCGAGAAAGACTGTGGAATCTCTGTCCTTGGAGATACTCAAAACTCAGATGCACAAGGTCATGGGCCACATGACTTAATTGGCACTGCTTTGATCAGGAGTTTGGACTAGTTGACCAAAGGTGTGAACTAACTTCCTTCTAATGCTAAACAGGGTACTTATGATTGCCCCTTTTAAAAAAGTTAGGAGAACCATTGATAGAAGCATATGTAAAGCAAATATGCCCAAGTATCTTGTATTTTTACTTACTAAAGACCCCAGCATGAATGGTGTGTGTTTCAAACAAACACTTGTGGGTGACAGTCGCAACTTTAGAAAGACTGTGGAGTTTGGACTAGTTGACCTTCCCATATCCATTCCAACCTAAATGGAATAACATTATCGAAACAAGCTACCATATAGTACCAAACCATGCCTTGCAGAGATAACTGCTCAGCACAAAGCAATTACAGGATATGTCTACACATTCATATGTAAGTGAAGGCAAGCCTGCCCATGTGCCGAGGGGACCTGAATTGATGTGACTGTATTAACACATCACCAAGTTTTAATTAATTCTGAATAATTCTGAATACAGTTCTGCCCCAGTTTCAAAACCTAGCCAAATATACTTCTTTTCAGTACCTGTTCACAGTGCCGCATTGCACAAGTGAGAAAGAGAGCTACTCAGAAGCAAGTGTACAGTGGGTACAGGAGGCTTGCATGGAGTGGTATAGTACAGGACATAGAAATGAAGATATGCAGCGTTGAAGACCCCAATCCTCTACAATATGTATTGGTCAGAAGAATAACTAGTTTTGCCAATTTAAGTATCAAAATTATTCCTTCATAAAAGGGCTAAAAGTTCTCCAGACTACTAAACACAGCACCATGTTTTCTTATATTTTGAAAATAAACCAGTAGCTTCTGCTTTACACTTACACTATGTTGTTTACTTTATGCAAACACTGAATGTCATTAAATGTTAAGAAAAAGTGCAACTGTAAACACCCATTAAGAACGTATCAAAAATTCACAGAAGGGAAAATATCTCAATGTCAAATGTTATGAGTACCTCTTAGTACATCAATAATCAAGAGTTATGATGAAACTTTTGTTTCAGCTCTGCCCTTTTCAATACTTAATCACTACACATGTGCTTTAGATAGTAAATTAAAGTATTACTTACTGTGTTCTACCCTGCATCCTCATTATACTCTAAAACACCCTAAAACAGTGACAGTATGAAGCATGTGACCTACTTACTGCAGTTTGTCTGGCTGTTTCTCATCTCACAGAGAGAAGTTCCACAGGGATCAGGACAGGAAGTACATCTCTGGTCTCCCTCCTGACAGAGGGTTTGACCTGAGGAAAATAGAAATTTACTATTCTAATTATTTACCAGGCTAATAAAAATTACTGGGGTGTAGTGATGAGAAAATACATTACAATTAAGTATTTTGTTTACATAGTTGAGTAAGTACCCTACGGCATTTCAAGTGCAGTAAGGAAGTGTTGTAAGGAAGAAAAGCGTGCAGCACTGTCCAGATGTCACTTCTCTTTACCCCTATGTTTAATATAAGAATTTATATCCCAGTTTCTGAATGAGAGGTGGATGTCTGAAAGCCATTTACCATGATACTCTGGCAGAGTATGAAAGTCATTTAAATCAGATTTCAAAAGGAACAATAGGTCCTAGCAGAAAGAGAATACCCTCTAGGAATTATTCTTCAGTGCCATTCAGCTGATCTGCTTCTCATTTTATGATTGTTTTGGTGGACAATAAAAACCATCCTGAAGAAAGGTTGTCAGAGCTGAAGCTTTATTGTCCTTCTTTGGCTGGTTAAAAAACAAACAACAACAACAACAAAAAGAAACCCAAAAAGGCTATGGTCTTAAAGATGGAATTCAGAATAACTAAAACCAGCACCTCATCAAAAAGTTTCTGAGCACATTACCCGGGTAGTTAGTTTCTCTGACAAATCCCTGGACTTCTCTCTGTCTCATAGTGGTGATAGCTCCGTTCCAAACCATTAAATTCTCTCTTCCATATGACTTTTGCAAGATCAGTCATTTAATTTACTATTCTGTACACAGAGACTGAACGGTTTGGATTTTATCATCTCATCCTGTTTAAAATGGTTTATTACAATTATTGCTTAGTGTTTGTATTGCACTACTGTCCACAAACATTAATTATTCAGTCATGGCATGCTTATACTGGGCATACAGAAGATGCTGAAGAAACATCTTGTTTCAATGACCTTGACAACAACCTTGTCCCAAATAACTGATGATGTAGTCATATCTATTCACAATTATGGGGATTTACTTCCCTTCATACATGTTATATATTAAAGCAACGGAGGTACTTTCTTTTGCTGTAGCAATTGACTGTCTTATTTTACAGGTGCATCTGATTGCAAAACGGAACTTGAAAGGTAGGGAAAACCTTTTGACTTCTAAGCTATCACAAATCTTTACATTAAAATTCATTTTTGAAGTTTGCTCCAACTCCTCCTTATCTCACAGTGGAAGAGTTTCTCAACTCTTTAAAAATCCCTGTGCTACAGTGTAGATTCTTTTGATCCTAGCACAGTCAATGCTGAATTTCTATAAACACACTCTACCCTGTCTTTTGAAGGGATCGCAGAACCAGCTGTGAATACATCTATATTAGATTTCTATTGTCACAAAATTAATGACAGCAGTAATGTTAATAGATGAAATACCTTAAATTTCCTTAAGGTATGTAGTGAAGGAGACCATTTTTCTCATTCAGATACAGATGAAGCAATGGTCATTTGTAATCCCGATATGTATCTACTTGTACCATTACACAAGGTCCCTGTATCCTTATATAGGCAAGTGGCAAGTCACTACATCTTGACCTCAAATTTCTACGCTGATTTCACGTTTACTGTGTTTGTAACAAAACCAATATTCCAGATCACTTCAGCCCTAACTTCACTGCCTCTGCTAGGCACACCCAAATTGTTTGATTTGTAGAGCAGAGAAGTCTTTGTATTAAGCGTATGTCCTATTACATTTTCTGTAGTTGCTGAAATCAACAACATAAATAAGAAATATGAAAGAAAGTTACAAACAAGAATTCTGCCTTGCTTTTACATCGACTTTGCAAGGAACCAAAGAGGAATAATCCAAATGAGGTCCAAATTCTGCCTACATATTCTCATGCAAATTTAGGACGGACAGGATGTGGTTGCTTAAAAGAAGAATTTTGCTCTACACAATATTGCAAAATATTAGATAAAGTTTTTTGCACATTGAAGAATGAATAATAAGAACAAGGAAAACTTTCATATTTAACAGCTTTGCAGTTTAATGCTAAATGGAAAAATCTTTTAGCATGATCTGTGAGATCATTGACTACATAATTATCACCCCATCCTACTCCTCTGCATTTAGTATCCTTGAATCTATATCTGTTCATCTTACCAAAAAACATTTTTAACTATTTCTTCAACATCCACAGAGGCAAAAAGCCGTGAAAACAAAACACATTGCTGACTTCTAACCCAGATCATGCATCAACGTTTTCTGTGAAATTCTCTTTTACTAGTGGTAAAAAAATTTAATAGGCTTAAGTTGGGTGAATTTTAGAAGTTGAAATGGTTGCTTATAGAATGTTCTAAATAGTTTTGTACTTTTCAATTTATCCCATTATCCTGCCTCATCTCTTTTATATTAAAAACGGTAGTTTCATTATCAGCAAGAGAAACGGAGGATCGTGGAATTCACAGAATAAGACTGAGGTTGGACATCAGGAAAGATGAAGAATAAAAACTGAGCATTTTGTGAGATAGCACAGTCAGAACTAAGGAAAAAACTTGGTTCTCAGTTTTTAGATTGCCAGAGTCAGAACTGGAAGAAATTTCATGCGAGACCTCTTTGCAACGTCAACATTAATTGTGAAGAAGAATAATGGTAATTTCTATGTTTCAACTTCTTGGTTGTTTTTTGGTATGGAGATGTTTAAATTGGAGTAGAAGGATCCTGAGAACTCAATATGAACAGAAGGGACTGAGTAGACGTGCTTATGAAAGGATTTCTTCTAGACTGGTTCCCTAAAGAAATGAGGCTTATATAATCACACTGTGTATTTATCTTATGATAACAGGTCTGTTCTACTCTAATAACTTTTGAATAGGTTGTCCTATTACCACTACATCTGACAGCACCAGAGTTTTCTAAATAAAGTGAATTCCTTTAATTTCTTAAAAACAAGATTCATAAGAGAAAGACTTCAATAATTCTCACATTGAAGGAAAGGCTGCAATCTGAACCTATACCTTACCAGAAACAAGAGAATTACATGTGAAAAATACCTTCAAATGCTGAAACCATCACAACATGACATCATCTCTTTCTGAGTGTCAAACTGTACCACAGGACACAAGTCTTTGGGAAACCATGTTCCAGGGCTCAAGAAACTGCCTGGTTTCCTTTTCTTTCATACAATCCATCACGAGACAGCTATTAAGTAGCTATGAAAACTTACATTCTCATATATTTTCCCTTAGTCACACTAAATCATTAGTTTACTTATGAAAACATCCTTTCTCTGACTCACAAGTTCTGATGAAAATAGGATTTTCATGAGAAAATTCCTCCTCAGACGACACCAATTGCTGCGATAGTAGCTTCTAATTGCTGCAGACAATGTGAATATGTATTAATTTATTTCAAGTAACAGCTGATCATGTCAGATAACCAAATACTATGCTAAATACCACCTCCATTTCTTTAACTTTTTATATTTTTAAGGACTAATAAAACTCTGCTTACAACTTCCTGTGTGAAAGCAGACACCAACCAGCCTTAGCAAGCGTTATTTGAAAGGCAAAGAAAGTAAATTTGTCAGACAGATTTAGCTAAAGGCACTTCAGAACAAAGCATTCAATGGTAGGTTCAGTAAGAACAGTAAAATGAGGGATATCCTTACTTTCACTGCAGTTTTCTTCATCACTTCCATCTTTACAGTCATTATCTCCATCACACTGGAATGCGCTAGGAATGCACTGCCCATTTCTGCATTCCACCAGACCCTGACTATGACATGCTAGAGAGAAAAAAAAGACAATATTCTGATCAACTTAGGTTAATGAAGGTCTTAATTATTTTTTAACATCGCCTTGAAGTTATTTTAGGAGAAGCTGATAACACTGCTTAGCACTGAAGGTCACTAGACATTTTTCATTATATGTAGGCTATGTTTTCAATAGCCTACAGCTATACTGATCTTTAACTACAGGGGCTGAAACTATGTATGTCAGGTATTAGCGAGAGGCTGAGATGAAGGTTCAGCTTTTCCAAGAGAAAAACCCCATCATTTTTACTCATATAAAAATTGTCACCTATTCTTTGTCCACTTACATTCCTTTATTCAGATTAGGTTCTTAGATTTCAGGGAAAATCGTAGTATAGTGGTTGCAAGGTCAAGCACTGAATGGCAGCAAGAATGCAGCATAAGCATATGTCTTATGATAACCTTAATCACATTAAAACATGTGCTAGTTCCCCAAGACTTGATTTTGCAACCTCAGCAATATTCTAGTATAGTTTTTTTGCAGATATACACCATCATCATTGGAGCAGACAGATGTCCAAACTCTGAGAAGGTGTGATAGGTCGCATACAGGCACGTCAGAAAGCTGTCACAAACTCAGAATACCTACAGTTTAAGAGGTTACATACATTCATTCATTACTGTTTAATGGGAACATTACAATTAACAAAAAGCTAATTCTGTAATTAACAAGAAGCTGAAACACAAGGCAATGCTGGTACTTCCCAACAATGGCAACAAATGTGTAATTTGCCGCAGCTGACTACCAGAAGGGACATTTGTCAAGTGTGAACTTCTGAAATCAAATATGCTTGTAGTTTTGCCTTACAAGTAATAAGTAAGTATACTATGTATCTTACATTTTGGTTTTTATTTTTAAAGACAGAAAAAACTAATTTAGAGATTAAGGGAACTTACAGCAATTGATTTCATCTGATTTGTCTATACAGTCATGGTCACCATCACATACCCAATCAGCTGTTATACATCTCCCATCTCCACACTGATGATGCGTCACTGGATTACAATCTATATAAAATGCAAATTTGAGGACAAAAAAAAAAAAAGGATAAGTTACCATTTGTATAATTTATATTATTGATCAATTGTTCTATGCCTATAAGCTAATCATTCTTACCAATGAGCCATTTTGCATTAGTAAATTACAATAAGAGATTTTCTGTACCTGCAGATCTTTTTGCAGATGGTAGATACACATGTTCTGAATTCTATTGCCTATATAGATAGTGATGCATTCATTCCTCCTCTCAGGTGCAGTCGTTTCCATTTGCAAATAGACAAGTTTCTAAGATTTGTTAAGCACATTAAAAGATCTTCTGGCCTCCCATCTCATGGAATGATTTTCAGTTAGCCAACATTTTCACTTGCTGGCAGAGAAAATCATTCCCTACATTTATCTTTTTACTAAGAATTAAAAAAAATATGTTTCTCAAATGTCATATTTGGCACTTAATCAGAAACTATGTTTTTTGCATACGCTCAGAATTTTCCATAAGAATTATCTACAAAGAAACTATTCCAATCTTCATCTTTCTCTTTCTACCCGAATGCTTCCACAAATAAAGAAAAGCATTCTGTTGAGCAGCCTGACTTTACACCAAAATAAATAGGGAGCGTAGACACAGTCCAGTCTGCCAAATCTGCTATGAAACCCATTTATAGCCTGTACAAGAAGTTAGATCTTAAATTTTATATAGAAAAAAACTATCTCAAGATAGGAATGGTAGGAGTCAGATTAATGTTTAGAAAAGTCTTTAATCAAAGACGGTTTATGAAAAAAAACCACACAAAACAACCAAAACTAACAAAAAGTAGTGCAAGATCTTAAAGTATGTTTAATTTGGAGAATAAACATAAAGCAAATCTCAGAAAAAACTGTGCCTTTATTTTTAGTTTTGAAATTCTCTGTGCTTTTCCTTAGAAAAGTGATTGAAGAAAGGTGAGAAATAATATTTTAATTTTTAAAAAATTATTTTAGAGCACTACATTTTTTTCAGGTGTAGTACCAGGAGCAAAAGTTAGAAAAAAATTCAGAGAAAAACTTTCAAAGTTTTCCAGTATTTACATGTGAAGATTATTTTTTTTTATGGCAAAACTTCATTTTTTTCCTATGAATGTGTAGGTAGAAAGACAAATATAAGGAGGCAGAACACACAAAGTTGATTGAAAACACGATTTGAAAGAAACAGAATTTGATCATCAAAACATACAAGTTCACTATGGAGCTTATGTAAAAACAGTTCAGCTATAAAACAGTTGGTATCACCAGTGTGTAGCCTCTTACGGCTTGCTTTAATCTTGTTAAATTCAGCCAAGTTAGCAAGAAAGCAACCATAACATCTTGAATTAGTTTAAAACAAATTGCAAGTCAGAATATTTCTTCAAAATACCACTACCTTCAAAATTTGGATTAACCCAGAACTCTCCTTTAAAACTTTTCAAATTGCATATAGAATTTGTGAGCTGTTTTTACTTTACCCAAAAAGAGTAACAGCAGGGTATATTACTCTTTTAGTAGTTTAAGGAAAAAGATTACTGGCTTAGGCAATACTGCTGTCTTAAAGACTTTAGAAAAGCATAAAACTTTCATTTACCACAGTTTTGTTCATCACTAAGGTCTCCACAGTCATCATATCCATCACAAACAAAGGTATAATTTAAGCATTTTCCTGTGTTGCAACGAAATACATCATCACTGCAGTCTACAAAACAAATTTTTGTAAAACGTTAACATGACATTGGAACTTTCATATAAACTATGAATACTGGAATGTATTGACTAAAACTAGATTAGCTAAAGATACCCTACAATTTACAGGTCTGCATTAATACTCAATGTGTACCAGTTTATTAGAAACTAATATGGAAGAACAAGAAAAATCAAAAGCAATTTTTAGACATTTTTATTCTGTTCCTACCAGCTGCTTTTTTGATCAATACCATGAGGAGAAAGTGCTCTGGTTACACATACGGACCAAAATGTTTAATTAATTTATACACATGAAGTTCTCAAGAAAGGTTGTGGGTTTCATCAGCTAGATTACTAGGCAGTCTTGAGCACCTGATGTGGTTATTAGGTGGAGCTGAAGCTTCTAACAGCAAAATCAAGATCCCCAGACCCTGTTTTTGAGCCTGCCTTTGACCTTACAATGGTTTCAAATGAGCTTTATGCTTTACACAGTTTTGAGCTCAGAAATTGGCCTGATGCCGTCTCATCAAAGAATTCTTAGCACTGTCAGCCCTAAGTGGGTTTAGCCTTTATTTCCATGGCTGAGGCCTTCAGTAAAGCCCTGATAAATATTCTCTGAGAATATCCATAATGCTTGAATAATATCAGGTTTTATAAAAACATGGAATCTACATTGTAGTTAGGAAAGGGGACAGAAGAGAAAATAGGGTTGGTGGTGTCTGATCCCATTAGCAATAACTTTTGATTACAAACACACAGTTGGGAAGTGGGTGACCTAGTTTCACTGCCTTCCTCTAGGTTTTTTCTTCACATCTGGCTTTTCCAGGGAGAATGCCAGGATATAGAACAGCTGGGTGGCTAATCCCTCCTTCCTGTTGAAGCTATGCCACTGGAACCAAGGAAGTTCTTTGTGCCCTTTCTTACTGAGATATGTGGGCATTTTAAGTGAACTCTTTCCTAGACGACATACAGAAAGAGCTCCAAGAGCAGGGACTGGAACACAAGTCTCTCCCCTCAGCTGACATGCTCAACCACTAAACAACAGAATCATGCTACCGCTTGCTTCTTTCCTCTTGGCGTGTGACTCCTGTGTTCATGATTGCACAGTGGTCCCACTTTGAAAGAAGGGTGTCCTTCTAAGTATATTACACACTGAAAGGTGCGGCACTCTCCCAGAAGGTGCAGTGGGATTTCTATCCCTCCAGATCAATGTCAGCCAAGTATTCCACCTCCTAGGTGAGTACTCTAAGTTTCTCAAGGCTTTACCAACCTCAACTCTAAAATTTGAACATGAATCACTTCTTCCCCTTCCCCCACAGAAATATTCATGCTTTCTAAAAGTTTCACATCGTCTTACAAATGTTTCTACAAGTTTCTAAATGTTTCTACAAGTTTCACATCATCTTAGAAAGTCCAAACAGAATTAACAGCACAATGCGAAGGACAATGCTTCAGGACATAAAGTAAAATAATATGGCTGAGCCATGAGCTTTGTAGTCAATAGTTAATTTAGCTTTAAAAGAACAAAAGGCATGAAACAGTAAATACCAAAACCCCCAAACTAAATGAAAATATTTAAATTCTAGTTTCATGTAAGCAGAACAATAGCCAGCTGACAGTAAAATTCTAAACACTACTTGTTTTGAGTATGCAACAGCATGAAATACTCTGGCAACCTTTATCCTTATTGATCACTTTGTAACTGTGACAGTTTCTATGCTTCCATTGCTCCTCATGCAAATGAAACAAAGCTGTCTTTGTTATATAACCAGGACAAGATATATGTGCAGACTCAATGTACAAATTCTGCCACTTCTAGGAGTAAATAAGACCTTAATTCAACAAGATGCTCTGTTCTAAAGCGTGGCATGCAGTGGCACGTGTGTGAAAACATTTTCTTTTGTATTTTATTACTAAAATGGTCTTCATCTTGTTCACCCTTTGTGAAAGAGAAGTATGACTGAGAAAGTCACACGAGGAGGAAGAGGAAGTGAGTGTACATATTAGGGAAGTGTGTGTGTAAGTACAGCCAGGGGGATGTAAGAGACACGGTTACATTTGGTACATTACATGTAAAACTTGCTCATCAGGATCCTTCTGACAGTTCCAAGTTTTGGCATGGATAATTTATGCATTTGTAGATCAGTGTTACAGCTTCTTTCCTGTTCATATTCCTATGTGATAGCTGGCTGAGTTGAATTCTGATTCCTCAGTTGGTACCTTCCATTGGACAAAGTCACAGAGTAAATGGTATAAGCAACACGATGAAATCGTAAATACCAGTTTTTGGCTGCAGCTGTGTAAAAAAGTGACACTGCTAAGTAAATTAAACTATACTTTCAAAAAGAGGGATGGATTCTGCTAACACTGCCAAGTCCACCACTAAACCATGTCCCTAAGCACCACATCTATACGTCTTTTAAATACCTCCAGGGATGGTGACTCAACCACTTCCCTGGGCAGCCTCTTCCAATGCTTCACAACCCTTTTGGTGAAGAAATTTTTCCTAACATCCAATCTAAACCTCCCCTGGTGCAACTTGAGGCCATTTCCTCTTGTCCTATCGCTTTGTTACTTGGCAGAAGAGACCAACACCCACCTTGCTACAACCTCCTGTCAGGTAGTTGTAGAGAGCAATAAGGTCTCCCCTCAGCCTCCTTTTCTCCAGGCTAAACAACCCCAGCTCCCTCAGCCGCTCCTCATAACACTTGTTCTCCGGACCCTTCACCAGCTTCGTTGCCCTTCTTTGGACACGCTCCAGCACCTCGATGTCTTCCTTGTAGTGAGGGGCCCAAAACTGAACACAGTATTCAAGGTGCAGCCTCACCAGTGCCCAGTACAGGGGGACGATCACTTCCCTACTCCTGCTGGCCACACTATTTCTGATACAAGCCAGGATGCCATTGGCCTTCTTGGCCACCTGGGCACACTGCCCGCTCACGTTCAGCTGGCCGTCGAACAACACCCTCAGGTCCTTTTCTCCAGCCACTCTTCCCCAGGCCTGTAGCGTTGCATGGGGTTGTTGTGACCCAAGTGCAGGACCCGGCACTTAGCCTTGTTGAACCTCATACAACTGGCCTCGGCCCATCAATCCAGTCTTTCCAGATCCCTCTGTAGAATGTTACTACCCTCAAGCAGATCCCTCCTGCCCAGGTTGGTGTCATCTGCAAACTCACGGAGGGTGCACTTGATCCCAAAGATCAAGAACAACCCTGGAGACGCAAGGAAAGCAAAAAAAATGTAAGTCTCAGGAATATTTTCAAAAAAATACTCAATCCCTAAGAGTGTAAAATGCTTGTAGGAAGAGTAAATCATCACTGCCAACCAAAAAGAAACAAAGACATTATGAGGACAAAAAAAGCCAGTGTTTTTCACTGTCAAAAACAAGTGATTCTAGCCAGACCACTTGTGTACACACTAGGGATGAGACAATTAAGTCAATGAGATATTGAGTGCAAGTGAGTGAAATAAGTTTTGTTTAGGATACATATGGCCTTCCTTCCCAATGAGTTTTGTTACATTAATTTCCTACAGAAACAATGACTAATTTGAATGGTTTGATTTTCAAACAAAGCATAAAGTTAAATCATTTATACCAGGTTGTTGTACATATTATATCACAATTTGTAAAGTTCAAAATCTTACTGGAATTATTTAGCAGCATTTTTACCTTCCCCATTCTCATATCAGGAAATGTAACAGTAGTCATGCTTAGGTCACAAATACAAAATGTTTAAATCCAAATCCAAACAAACAAGAATATTTTAATTAAAATTGTAAAGCATACTTTAGAAACATTCTTCCAGATGTTGTTTTCAAAAGTCCTATGTTTCTTTTTAATGCATCCAATTACACTGGCAAGCTTGAGTCTTTTGAATCTAAAGCCATCAAATACCCTTACAAAGATACAATTAGTTACACTTTACAGAATCCTGTTTTGAAATTCTATAAAGTGCTTTAACTATCTAGATGAAAAAAATATGCTGTCTTTTAGCTTTCTGAACCTTTAAGTGCCACTGCCTAGACACCCCAAGGACTAATTTCATTCTCAGAATCACAGAATAGTTGAAGTTGGAAGGGACCTCTGGAGGTCATCTGGTCCAACCCCCCTGCTCAAGCAGGGCCACCTAGAGCCAGTTATGCAGAACTGTGTCCAGACAGCTTTTGAGTATCTCCATGGATGGCATCTCCACCACCTTTCTGGGCAACCTGTGCCAGTGTTTGGTCACCCTCACAGTAAAAGAAAAAAAAAAAAAAAAGTTTCCTGATGTTTGGGAGGAACCCCTCACAGTAAAAGAAAAAAAAAAAAAAAGTTTCCTGATGTTTGGGAGGAACTTCCAGTGTTTCAGTTTGTGCCTGGTGACCCTTGTCCTGTCACTGGGCACCAATGAGAAGAGCCTGTTTTCATCTTCTTTACACCTTCCCCTTCAGGCATTTATATACATTGATAAGATGCATCCTCAGCCTTCTCTAGGCTAAATAGTCACAGCTTTCTCAGCCTTTCTTCACAGGACAGATGCTCCAGTCCCTTAAACATCTTCGTGGCCCTTTGCTGGACTCTATCCATTATGTCCAGGTCTCTCCGGTACTGAAGAGCCCAGAACTGGTCATAGTACTCCAGGTGTGGTCTCACCAGTGCTGAGTAGAGCGGAAAGATAATTTTTCTAACGCAGCCCAAGATACCATTAGCCTTCTTTGTGGCAAGGGCACATTGCAGCATAAAAGTTCAAATTTTTATCTTCTTTCTCAAATATTGCTAAATATTGCCAAATATTTAGTAATTAAATGGTGAATAGCAACTAAATTTTTGGGAGTACTGAATATTTTCATTATTATGGAAATGTCAGTCACTGCGAAAGTTACTACTGAACAATCTTGAAACTGAACTGAAACAACTTATAAATGAGCCTAGGATAAGACTTAAATTTGATAGCATCTACTTTGATCGAAGGAGAAGCATTTTAAGAATTAAAAAATCAATCATTTCATAAATTTAATTATGAATTCATTATA